CTAAACATAACCGAATGGATGTCTGCATCGCTATTTCGCTACCAACTTATCGCTAAAGCGTAATTTCATCTCGTTGGTTGTTCAAACGTAATTTTCTATAATGAATGATGCCTTTTCTTTGAAAATATTCTCGGTAAAGTGCAGAATCGCCCACTTATTGTTTGCCGCTTTTTACAAGGGTAAAAAAATTAGATTTTTGTCAATTTTCTTTTACTTTTCAAGTGAAAATAGGTCGATGTGTACATAGATAAAGCCAAGGGTGTGCGCAGTAATATTTTTGTGCAATTCTAGGATTTTTTTTAAGTGAAAATAGGTCGATGTTCACATGGATACCGAGTATGTGCAATTCTTAAAAACGCGTAAAGCAGTAGGTGATTCTACACGTTACCCACAATTCTATTGCCGACTTTTCGTCATGGGCAATTCCCAAATTGTTAAATCCATAGGATATCAAAAAAAGGGTTTAAAAATTAAACTAGTATTTCAATGGCGTCTTAAGAAATATAGAACTATATAAACTTACGCAATCTGAAATCAGCGCGTACGCTAGATTTGTTGCGCTGTTAAATGGGCGCGTTTGCTAGATTTGGCGCTTTTGCGCGTACATTTTCGCTGCAATTTTTTTACGGCTCTCGAAACCGAATAGTACCCAATGTACATTCGTCGTTGCAATTCCACCTCGAGAACTGCTAGCATTGTAACTGTAACTTACTGCCGGATGATTAGCATCATCGTAACTAATAACGAAGTTCCAGCACAAAATAATCTTACACATAAAGCCATTTGCCTTCTTTCCGGTACTATTTTGTTATCGGAACCGGCTTCAGATATCGCCAAAAGCTGACGATTTGGCGAAAAATTCGAAACATAATAATCGCCAAAATATTTACGATACAGTTAAAGAAAAATCCAAGGGGAAAAAAAAAATCTGAAAGCATTCACATTTTATATTACGCACAAGAGGGCGTTTTTTAACGTTTTGTGCGTTACGTTTATTGATTAAATATCATGTTCTTCGCACATATAATAATTAAAGCACATAAAATTCAAGTCAACAGTAATGCCATAAAATATTTAAAAACAGAAAAATAGCATATCTATAGAATTTCCGATAGACAGTAGTTGCGCGCGCTGGAGATAAAAATGTTCTTTCCTAACAGTGTTGCCATTGCTCGCTTTGAAATCGTTGAGTTTGTTAATCAAAAATTCTTTAAAGTTTGATAAAATTTTAAACAGAAAATAAAACAAATTCCAAATTCGGGTTTTCCAATGCCCATGTTCGGTTGGAGGACTACGTTATTCAAGATCGAATGGCTGCATGAATAATGCGAGAAACATTCATGCAGATTCTTCATTATTTAGTTCCTTTAAATATACTACATGGCGATAATATTTGGTGGCAACAGTTTGAAAAGTGAATCGACGCAAAATGCCGTTTTGAAATGAATTAATAGCCCCTTCTCGCCTAACGCCCTTTGGGCTAATAATAGATATTCGTAAAATTAGAAACGTTTAGTGTAAATTAAGCAGCTTCCCAAAGAAATCAGGAAAAAATTCTTTAGAGAACTAAGGTTAACGCGAAGTCATAAAACTCCGCATATCAGAAACATTCTTTTTGTTTCTCAAGAAATTCAGGAGCCCCACCAGCGGCCGAGCGGTAAAATCGCTGAACACTGGTAGTTCGGTCCGAGGTTCGAATCCCGCAAACGGGCTGGCTGCACGGTTGTTTTCCCCATGAGTAACGTGTATACGAGCCAGTTCCCCTTAGAAAGTCCTCCACGAAGGCATCAGTCCCCTTAGGCAGATAGCCCTCGAGGCTTTGCCGTAATTAAATAACCTAACTTAACCTAACATCAAGAAATTCCGCCGTACACCCACTGGAACGGAAGGCTACTTCTACCTACGTTATGTTTCCAACGTGAAAACAGACTTTCGTCAACTTCGATAATATTACCAGTGCCGCGTGTTTTAACTGAAGGTCTAGATATTCATGCATAGCCACAGACTTCCCTTACATAACTGTTCCAATCAACAACAGTGCAGTGATTTATATCAGGTTGATGCTGACCAAATTCAAGGAGAGTAAATTCTAAACACCACGCATAAATGAAACGAACTGCAATTCAGAAACTGATTCTCGATTCTTCAGTCCAATTTGGAGAACGTAATCATTTTTCTTCTCGGCACGTCATAGCTTCACATCTCCATTTCGGTGTTTCGGCCCACCAGCGGCCGAGCGATAAAGTCGTTGAACACTGGTAGTTCGGTCCGAGGTTCGAATCCCGCGAACGGGCTGGCTGCATGGGTGTTTTCGTGGTTTTCCCCATGTGTAACGTGTATACGAGCCAGTTTCCCTTAGAAAGTCCTCCCCGAAGGCATCCCTCCCCTTAGGCAGATAGCCCTAGTGTGCTTTTGCCGTAATTAAATACACCACCACACCACACCATTTTTTGTGTTTCCTTCGAACTGACTCCAGTTATTAATTTATGGAATACTTTTCGGTTAAGTGGCGATAAATATAATTCAGTTATTAAACGAAAATTGGAGATAATCATTCTAGCTTCAACGAGACTGACCTCTTCTTTGCAGTTTCTTTTGTGTGGCGTTGAAAGATAAATAAACAGGGTGATTAGGGGATACAGCGATAGCTCGGAATCATAAAGGAATACAGGGTCGCAAATGCCGTAGTTGTGAGCTATTGTGCAAAGAATCAGAGAAAAAGAACAGAAACACACTAATGGGAGAAAAAACATTTTATTGAAAGATTTTGCTACAACAGGTGTTCGACATTACGACCAGAAGTTAACAGGCAAGGCTGACAGTGGCGCTGCATGGAATTCCTTACGTTCCGGAAGATTTCCATGTGTGAACTTTGGAGAACCCTCATCGTACGCATCGCCACGTGCAGCTCAATAACATTCCTCGGTGAATGTTTGCGCCGGCATTCTTGGAGACTACCTCATTGCACCAAACCTTCTGCCCAATAGGACACACTTGATCTTCATGCAGCAAGTCCTCCCCAAACTTCTTGACGCAGTGCATGATCCTCCGCTGTTGTTTCATGTTGTACCAGCACGACGAAGCTCCTCCACATTACACGACTGACGTCCGTCAACACCTCGACGTAACCTTTGGACAGCGGTGGATAGGACATGGTGGCCTGATTCACTGGCCTGCCGGATCACCGGACCTATCATGCATGTGCTTCTTCTTCTGGGGCCACATGAAAAGCTTGGTGTACTGGACGCCCATTCCTTCAGTTGAAGACCTCGTCGCATGAACATCTGTAGCTGCCGGGAAGATATGTTAGATGCCATGAATCTTCCGGAACGTAAGGAATTCCATGTAGCGCCGCTATCAGGGTTGCCAAACGACTTCTGGTCTTAATTTCGAACACCTGTTGTAGAACAAACTTTAAATAAAATGTTGGTGAATCTTCGGATTATGGTAACTTGGCGATTTTTTGGCGACCAACCCTGCTACAGCAACCTGCTAGTTCTTTTTTGGACGCCATTTTGTTTTCACGAAGTAAAGGCATGTTTGTTTTTTTAACTCAACATTTTTTCGAACAATCTGCTAGCCGAATTACGCTTGTGCTAGAACTTTTATGGAACAAAAGTGCTTAATCATGACGAAGATTAGGTGCGAAATTGGGAGAAAGTGCAGAATCGCCCACTGCTTCGCGCGTTTTTAAGAATTACACATACGTGGTATCCATGTACACGTCGACCTATTTTCACTTAAAAAAACATCCCAGAATTGCACAAAAATGGCATTGCGCACACGCTTGACTTTATTCATGTACACATCGACCTATTTTCACTTAAAAAGTCAAAGAAAATTGACAAAAATCCAATTCTTCTTACTCTTGTAAACAGCGCCAAACAAATAAGTGGGTGATTCTGCATTTTACCAGCGAAATTGTTTCTAAGTGTTTATTAGCTAAAATCAAGATCCGAATTTTCCGGAAAATGTCACATGACATGTCTCATGATCTCTCATTTCTCTGAGACAAAATAATCTGTGATTCGAACTGTGTACTTCTCAGATTACTGCTAAAGTCCTACCTAGTAACCTTTATCGCCTTACCAAAATGTCGCCAAACTACCTGTTACTATAATTCCAGAGATTAGCCAAAATGTCTTCTGTTCCATTAATGCGTTGCTGTTTTTTTTTTTATTTTATTTTCCTCTGCTTCTTTGCACCATAGCATTTGCGATCCTGCATTCCTATGTGATTCTGAGTCGTCTCTGTACCCCCTACACATCCTGCAAGTTTGTCGGTCTCGCAGTGAATCCCACTGTATATCGGCGAAGAAGAATATATGTTTTTTTGAATTTTATTTTTTATGTCGGCACAGAGTTCAAGGAAATTTTCAATCCCGGTATTAAAAATATCTATAAATCGCTGCAAAAATTTATCCTTGGAGAGGCAGCGTATCTCGGTGTACGGAAGCAGATGGTGCTTTTGCGTTTTATTTTTTTATATTGCACTTATTGCATAAAATGTATACATTAAAAAATATTATTAATTTTTAAAATATGCGAAATAGTTCTTACATATTTCCCCTTGTATATATTTATTTTATACGATTTTTTCCATTATTACATGATATAGCTTTATATCAATAAACAATTAATTATCAATACTATTAATACATTTTTGTAATCTTTTATCACTTCAGTCAGTATCAAATAATTAAGCATAAGTATTTTTCGCTTTTAAAATTCCATAACATGCTTTACAAATTACCCTAGTGTGCAAAAACTTAAATACCTTTTCTGATTTGGGCCGTAATTCTGCATAAAGTCAACTGGGAGGCATGAAATTTACTTTACAGAAAACACCATGTAGTACTTAAAAGGACGAGAAAAGTATAGCAGCCAGAAAATGAACAGAACGCTTAGAGTACTGAACGAAATTTGATGCTTCAAAAATTAACGTAAAATAGTAGAGGGGGAAATTCTAAACGTAAAAAATAACAAAAAAATAACTACAAATTTTTAATAAAGCCATTTTATTTTATTGCCATGATCTGAATGATGTTGATAAAATAACCCGTATAATTAATGTGGAATATTAGACGTGAAAACAAATTATTATCTATTTAAGTACAAAGGGGATTTCCAAATTTCTCAGAAATAAGCTTTAAATTCTTTTAGCCTAGTTGTCATGCGTAGTCCCACGTCGGCGCACATATTATTCCTAGAAAGTAACGAATTTTAAGCCTACTTCATGAACACTTTTGAGGAGTGTATTTATCAGCTTATCGAGAATTTATTTTCGCTCACTGAAACCTCTTTCTCCGGATTAAAAAGCCTTTCGGAGACCCACCATTGAAAATCTTCTCCTTTTCATTCAAAAGTAAGTGAATGTCAAGGTTCTTAGACTTAGCAGATTCCATCATGAGTCGCTCTAAAAATTTTTACTAACCTAACAGCAGAATAAGGCTATCCAAAAAGATGTATCAAGAAGTTTTCGGACTAGCTCTGTAGGGTGCTAACAACAGCTAGCTCTGTAGTGCTCTGTACTGCAGAGTTGCACTTGCAGCAATACTGACTTTCAGGCTTCATAAGGTATTGCGTGAAGATACATCGTTGGGCTACCATCGGCAATTGCTATAATTATGCTTTTGTAATAACGTGCGTCGGGTATTCTTCGATTACATGAAGGGCAAAAAGGTGGAACAGTGATCCAAGGTATAACTTTGCGTTAAAATGGACAATTTAGCCACAAAGGCCTTCAACAAACATCATCAAACTTATAAGATGTCGAGATGAATGGTATTTAATGTTTTGAGCGGCACAGGCGCCAACAAAGGCAAAAGAATGTCTCCTGAAGACAGCTAACGACCTGGAAGACTTTCAACAAGCATTAACCTTGGCAATGATGAACGAACTCGGGACCTTCAACAAGCATTAACCTTGGCAGACTTGGAAGACCTTCAACAAGCATTAACCTTGGCAGACCTGGAAGACCTTCAACAAGCATTAACCTTGGCAGACCTGGAAGACCTTCAACAAGCATTAACCTTGGCAAAGATGAACGAACTCGGGACCTTCAACAAGCATTAACCTTGCCAAAGATGAACGAACTCGGGACCTTCAACAAGCATTAACCTTGGCAGACCTGGAAGACCTTCAACAAGCATTAACCTTGGCAAAGATGAACGAACTCGGGACCTTCAACAAGCATTAATCTTGCGAAAGATGAACGAACTCGGAACCTTCAACAAGCATTAACCTTGGCAGACCTGGAAGACCTTCAACAAGCATTAACCTTGGCAAAGATGAACGAACTCGGGACCTTCAACAAGCATTAACCTTGCCAAAGATGAACGAACTCGGGACCTTCAACAAGCATTAACCTTGGCAGACCTGGAAGACCTTCAACAAGCATTAACCTTGGCAATGATGAACGAACTCGGGACCTTCAACAAGCATTAACCTTGGCAATGATGAACGAACTCGGGACCTTCAACAAGCATTAACCTTGGCTGACCTGGAAGACCTTCAACAAGCATTAACCTTGACAATGATGAACTTACGCATGCGAGTCGTCCGAGAATGATCAGCGACACTGCAAACATTGTCTGTGTGTCGTATGGGCCAGTGCAGACAATCTTATCGGAACTAAACGTGCAATGCTAATTGTCTGCCAAGTTTGTCAGCCGACTGCTGACGTTTGAGCAGAAGGAACACCGCATCGCAGCATGCCAAGATCTCCGTGAATGAGTAGCGGACAATCGGTCCTTCATATTCAAAATAAATTTTTTAGAAAGCTAACAGCAATTAATCGACCCTTCATATTCAAGATGTTAATACTTGTCCTTGACACAATCGGTTTTTCATATTTCAAGATGTTAATACTTGTCCTTCACACAATCGGTCCTTCACATTCAAGATCAATTTTTACAAACCGAACAGCAATTAATCAGTCCTTCATATTCAAGATGTTAATACTAGTCCTTCACACAATCGGTCCTTCATATTCAAGATCAATTTTTACAAACCTAACAGCAATTAATCGGTCCTTCATATTCAAGATCAATTTTTACAAACTTAACAGCAATTAATCGGTCCTTCATATTCAAGATCAATTTTTACAAACTTAACAGCAATTAATCGGTCCTTCATATTCAAGATGTTAATATTTGTCCTTCACACAATCGATCCTTCATATTCAAGATATTAACATTTTCTTAGTTGTATGTTGAAAAATGAATTTGTTGCTTAAGTGTTGCTCAATATGTTGCTTAAGTTAAACTTGTTGCTTAACAATTTCATAGTTGCATGTTGACAAGATCCAGCCCGAACTGCAAAAGGGTGGACATTCTTACGCAAATGTCACTTCCAGGCCGTGGAATCAGTGCACTGTTGCGCAATGTATCTATTTCGTTAGAGATAATGCTCAAATTGAATTCAGACACTTTTTTGGGTCAATAGGATTATTTCGGGCACTTTTTGATACACTCTTTTAGTATGACATGAACTGATTCGATTAATATACCAATATTTGTCCACGTATAATAGCATTAATTCGCTGACATGTCTCTTGTTTAACTGCATTCAAATATGATCCATAGTGTAATTTCAGGAACTTTAGGAACACCCTGTGCAAAAATCAGAACTAATCAAAACACGAACAAAACAAAAGACACAGCATACAGAAAACAAGATAAACATTACAACGTCGGAAACGAATTTTAAAACAAATCTGATTAAATATTAAAATACGGCTATACACATGCCATTATGAAAACACAACATTTCATAACATAAAAGTAATAAATCCGCATAACAAGAATATACATTCTATGAAATCGATAAATTTATCCAATATAATCTGATTTTTTTCTTGCTATAACGATACATATGTAATTCTTTCAATTACTTTAAACAGACTAGGATTCGATATAACTCTAGAATACACAAGAAATTAATAAATATTGCCTTGCAATATGACGATGAGATCACACATAATGTAAAATTCGGTATACAGGACTTATGCTATCATAACAAAAAGGCGCAAAAATTAAAGATTTTCTTTAGATCTTCAAGAACTTTATAAAGTTATGTCTGTAAATAAGAAAGCATTCCCTTCATGAAGAGTCTCACTTATTTAAGAAGCCGTTTCTCTTCTTTTATAAAACTGAACACGGAATCAAAACAATAGCAACTACGTGGGAAGAATTTTACAGAACTGTGCTGACGAAACTTCCTAAATGCTGATCTATTCGCAACACTGGAGCTTGTTTTGGCCTGAAGTGGAAAAATGGAGACCTAGAACTGACTAGCAAAGCTTGGTTCTCCTTTAACATAAACCTGAAAAATAAATAAAAGCAGTGAGAAGTATGGTTTACAAATGCAGAATATTCTACAACACAGAGTATTAAAAAAAAAAATTACACAAATTTGATTTTGTTTTCGCTTTCTCATTTGACTGTAAACATTTATAAAAATATCCATTGCACATATTACAACTCGTCTGTATTTTAAATTATGTCAGTTAAATAGATTACACAAAAAATCTGATGCGATATGGAATTTTTCAATAATAATAATTTCAGATAATTTTTCACTCTGATGCGATATGGAACCCACATAAAAAATTTAGAAAAATAAACTTAGTCTGTCTCATTATATCTGTAACAATGGCACGCAGTTTTTAATGATTTTCGTCTTTCTAATCAAATGGCCGTAAAAGCTTAAGGTCCATCCATTATTGCACGTATAATCAATTTTAGCCGATTAAATGTGGTAAAAATGGATTAGAAATCAATAACGTGAACAAACAGGCATTCTTCTTTATATATATAGATTTTGTAAAACTTACACATTTTTGATTAACAAACTCTACGATTTGAAAGCGAGCGGTAGTAAAAACTTTTCCAAATAAAGCATTTTTATCTCCAACGCGCGAGACCGTTGCCACTCGGAAAAATGAGTGCGAAAATTAATGTTTTCAGAATTTTTAATTAATATCTCGGCTGATTAAAGTCGTACGAAGATGAGAACCGTCGAAATGGCTTCCAACAAAATTTTTGGAATCTGGAATACGTATTTAATGTTTGGCAATGCTATTTTTATTTTATCCTAACACTTCGAAATTTTTCATTTATAAACTCTACGATTTAAAAGCGAGCAGTGGCAACAACTTTCGAAATAAAGCAGATTTTTATCTTCAGCTTGCGAGACTGCTGTCACTGGGGAAAAATGCGGGCGAAAATGATCGTTTCTCGGAGTTTTTAATTAATATATCTGATTTTAGCTACTTTTGTTTCGAAAAAAGTGGACGACGACCCTTTTCAGGACCCATAAAAGAATTGTAGAACGTTTGGTGACGATAGCCATAGTAGTGACTGAGATATTAGAGGACAAACATATATACACTGGTGTGCAAAAATTAAGAACGAAGTCGAAAAATTAGCATATCAGTTGAACGAAGAGGCAGAGCGGACAGAAAGACCAATCAGGAGATTAAGTAAGGTGATGTACGGTAGCATATACGCAGATAATGCAGGTAGACGTAATGGGGGAGTGTCTGAGTAGAGAATAAAGCATGTTGTCGGTGTAAGATCAGTATTTCTGACAAAGAGATTGCACGCCGTATAGCAGTTAAAATCACACCGAGTTGCTGCCTCAGCGAGAAATGGCGAATAATCAATCTGTTAGACGACATCTGGATACTTTTACCCGAGGTCGAATCATTGGGAAGTTGGAGGAAGGCCGCAGTGTGACAAGTGTGGCTGCAGAGTTCGGAATTGCAAACAGCATCGTTTCACGACTTTAGAGACAATTTCAAACTACAGGAACAGCTATCCGGGGATTTAGTAGTGGTCGTCCACGAGGAACCACACCCGCAGATGACCGGTATATTGCCTTACATGCCAGAAGAAACAGGCGACAGACAGCGGGAGAAATCGCTAGACACACGACACAGGCGACTGGACGACCGATATCGCGTTTTACCGTGGCCAGAAGACTGCACGGTGGTCGTCTGTTTGCACGACGCCCTGTACGGTGTGTACCTCTAACGCCTGCCCATCGGAGAAGGCGTTCTCTGTGGTGCCGGGAACACCGGAATTGGAGAGACAATGAATGGGGACGAGTACTCTTTACAGATGAGAGCAGATTCAGTCTGAGTAGTGATTCTCATCGCATACTCATCTGGAGAGAGCGGGGAAGCCGCAATCATCCCTCGAACATCATTGAAAGGGACAGGTATGGAGGTGGCGGTGTTCTCGTTCGGGGAGGCATCATGCTTGGTAGTCGTACAGACTTTCACATCTTCGACGCAGGTTCAGTCAACGGGACCCGTTATTGTAACGAGATTCTTCTTCCATATGTGAGTCTTTTTAGAGGCGCTATGGGTCCGCAGTTCCTTTTCATGGACGACAATGTACCATGTCATCGCACAGTAGCTGCCGAACAGCTCTTAGAGAGTGAGGATATTGAACGTATGGATTGGCCAGCACGATCTCCAGATCTCATGTATGGGATTTTCTAGGAAGACGCTTGGCAGCTCGTACCTTACCACCAGTAACGATTCCGGAGCTTCGATTGGCACTGCAAGACGAATGGGCAGCAATGCCTCAACAACTCATTGACAGCCTCATTCTCAGCATGGGCAGACGCTGTGAAACCTGCCTAGCAGTCAGGGGAGATCATATCCCCTATTAAAGACCGGATGTTTCTTGCTGGACACCCATCACAGGGATGTTTCGGCCTTCAGTCGCATTGCGTTCCATGCTACTTTTTCAATAAAGCTTCTTTTTATCCCTCTGATTTCTCTTTTAGTAAGTGTTGCTTACATCACTCATGTCCTTACATATTGGGGATCTTACGGTATTAAATATGTTGATTTGGAAAGCTTTTGTACAAAGTTATATTGAAAAAACCGTCTCGTCCTTAATTTTTGCACACCAGTGTATATGTGATGTACCAGCTTTTGTCGTAGGTTAAATTATCAGACGATAAGTTTTAAAAAAGAGGATGCATTTATTATATTTCAGGAGAAAATAGCAGTTACAAAATCAGATATCCGAAGTAGATAAAAAGAATTACTAATAACTTTTTGTATGAAGTTTACTGCATCGTGACATTTAAGAAAAAGCCCCGATATTCCTTTTGCGAGTCCTTTTATAGCCTCTGGAAAGGCGGAGCTTCCAAGAAATGACGTCAGCCATTCCAGTTCGCTTTAAATATCTCCAGAACATTCTAAAACTGTATGTGTAGAAAGGCGGGAAAAACAGCTTGACTACGGGGCTGTGATTTTATTCCACGTACTTTCAAATAAGAGAAAGTCGCCATTAAAAATGAAAAGAACATACAGTTAGAATTTTAAGTGTACTCTTGACTATGGAATTTTATTATTACAAATATATATCAAGTTCTTTGCACTTAAAACAAGTTCTTTGCACTTTTATTCAACTCAACAGCAATATCGCAAAATAATTTAATTTTTAAATGAGCCTATCTTTAGAATTTCCCTTGCACAGTCTCGCGCGCTGGAGATAATCCCCCCCCCGGTACACTGTTGCATTGCTCGCTTTGGAATCGTTGAGTTTGTTAATAAAAAATTCGTTAAAATGTTATGAAATAAGGAACCGATAATAAAACAAATTTCAAATTCCGAATTTGGGCTTCCAGATGCCCACATTCGGTGGAAGATTACGTTATAGAAAACTGGATGGCTTTCGGTACCATCGCTTTATAAACAATGCGAGAAACATACCTACATTGATGCATATTCTTCATTATTCAATTTCTTTAAATATAACACAGGACGATAACATTTGGTGGCAACAATTTGAAAAGTGAACCAACATTTATAGCGAATCAACGCAAATGGCAAAACGAAGTTAATAGCCTTAAATTAAAGCCCTTTCCGCTAAAAACCTGCACACATATTCATTATACCGTTCATACTGCTGTAAATGTAGACAACTATTTGTGCTTATTTGATTATATTTTGACTTTGTATAGTATTTATCTTTCTTTGGTAGCATAAACTAGTCAACTAGGGAGAGACTACACGAATAATCCTCTTTTGTTTTAAACAGTAGACAAACAAATTCAGAAGGATGTAACGGGTGGCCATAATTAAACTGACAGTGCTCACTGTGTTCTGTAGCGTGAAGTATTTGCGAGAATGACGCCACGTTTTGTAGGAAGATTAAACAAGACGGGGGACGAAGGATTCTGCGAAAAAACAAATTAGTTCCAAAAGTCGCTGCTAGGGGAATATTTGGCGTGTAAAAGAAAATAGAGTGCAAATCAATACGGAAATTACCTTTTATTTTGCATTCAAATGAGGTTCAATGTGGCTGCCGTTGTTGTGGACCACATATTGCATTCTGTGCACAGTATGCACAACAGCAGAAAGTAACATGTCTGCAGGAATCTCCTGTACAGTCCCTGATATGTTATCTTTCAACGTAGGCATGTCCTGGACCACTCCTTGATAGACCTTGGACTTGAGGTAACCCCATAGCCAGAAGTCGCATGGGGTAAGATCAGGCGACCGAGGTGGCCATGCAGTTGGAAAGTAGCGGCTAATGACTCTTTCTGTTGTGAATTTCTGTCGTAGCATCTTTTGCACCCGTACAGCAACATGTGGAGGGGCTCCATCTTGCATGAAAATGATTTCCCCCAGGCATTGTCTTTTATCCCTTTTTAAAATCGCTTTTTTAAAAGTGTTGCCATATTGCACTTGAACTAAATTAGAAAATGTGCATAATAAAAAGTAATTTTATTCCGTATTGATTTGCATTTGTTAACACTCTATTTTCTGTTACAAATATTTCCCTAGCGGTGACTTTTGGAACTAATTTGTTTTCGCGGAATCCTTCGTCCCCCGTCTTGTTTAATCTTCCTACAAAATGTGACGTCATTCTCGCAAATAGATCGCGCTACAGAACACTGTGAGCACTCTCAGTTTAATTATGGCCACCCGGTACATAGCTCTTTATTTGAACACAACGAAATAACAACGACCCAGCTTGGGTTTACATAAGCCAAAACTTCTGGCTTAACTTAAATACTACTTAACTTACATAATGTTGAACTAATTCAAATGTGATACATTAGCCTAATGGCTCGCAGGATAATTTAAACTAAACGCGCAGGAAAGTCTCTGGTCTGCAGAAAACCGGCGAGACAGGCTAAATGGCTAGCTGGACTCAACACCTCAGAATGAAAACACTAATAGTCAAGGTACAAGGTCGCCTGAAATAGGCAGAATAGCTCTAAAAATAACTTGCGTAACCGTCGCTTAAATAGCATTTCGTTGTCCTTCTATCTGAATAAACACTCGCTATCTC